CGGATATGGCCTACTTGTTAACAAGTGACACGGTTTTCTTCGTGTTATTGATATTTTTACCTCGTAACCAGAACAGAAACCAGGGGCTACCGTGAGCTTAATGCTGCTTGCATCTGGAGGTCAATAAGCTGCAGAAATCGGGCGTCGAATGACTGCACGGAAGAAATCACCGGCGCTCTTAATTTACAATGGTTAGCTGACTGTTTCTAAGCCGATAGAATTCAGAAGCGTTGTCGATTTTTTATCTGGGTGCTACAGACATTGAGGACATCGCAAAGGTAGATTATTGATCGATGTTTGATCCGAATTTAACGATGAAAATTTAATTGCAAATCGAGTGGTCAACAAGGTGTATTAACATGGCCGAGCCATGTTTGTCTGAAAATGTTCACCATTCAGTCAGAATCGATTAGTGATACATTTCATGTAGCGTGTTTTTTAACATGCTGGCTCACAAATTTAACATTTAGCCGTGGCCCACCGGTGGACGAAAATGATGACGCTTCTGAAATGATTACCTTTAAACACTTTAATCACCTAGTTATACAAATTATGTGGTGTTATTTTGAGCATGCGCACTCAAAAATTGAACGCAAGCTTCGCCTCCAGGCGTTGCAGTCTCCGTAGGACGCGCAGCGTCGGTCCAGCAGTTAATATTAAGTTGTGGGCAATGGGTGGACGAAAATGATGACGCTTCTGAGAAAGTATCCTTGGACGCTTCACGACATCAAATCTTGCATTTAGAAGGCAGTCTGAAGGTATATTTCACGCGGGCAATTTTTAGATTGATTAAAAGAACGGATTGGTCCCTAAGGCACCGCGAAGTGGGGCTGGAATCTGGTGGTTGAATTGGAAGAGTGAGGGTAAAATCTCTACTTTTCGTGTTTCCGCAGCTATTTATCTGCCCAGAAGACAGATTAACACGGCGCCCGCCGTCTGGTGGCACTTGCAGTGGCCGAAACTTATCGGTTTCACGGAAGTTGCAACCCAGACCATCCTTGTCCTTGCCCTCGAAGTTGCGGGCGGGCATGTTCAAGCCTTGTGATGTAATTTGTTTCCATAATACATTCTGAAAGAAATGAACGTTCTCAGGCAAACATGTCACGACCTCGCTCGTTTTTTTTTTTTAAATTCATTTCTACTTGTGCTTTTCAACAAGAATGGGAGTCCCAATCTACTCCACAATAATGAGACCCCTTATTCCCTTCCGGGCAAGGGGCCTCTTGAGTAGAACACCAGGGGTACATTACCGTTTCCGGTCAAGGGCTGAAGCGCCATTTCGTCCCATTGGCTATCATTCTGGTGGCACGGCGCGGGATCTCCTGGTCGATCTGGAGGTCATTAGAAGGATATATCATAGCACATAGTTCCCATTCCTGACGCGGGGGGCCATTTGACTCGCGCAGTTAGCCCCGGATCAGCACAGGGACCCTCACTGACGCAAGAACATCCCTGATCACCGCAGGCAGTCCGATAGTTTTGACAGCGGCTCCAGTTTGATGTTTTTTTGTGTTCCTCAGAGATATTGAGTTCTCCCCGACTGTAGATTGCAGGTGATGTAGATCGCAGATATTAACGTGGCTAGCCCATGTTCGTCTTATAATGCTCAAGATCTTGTCAGAGCTGATTACTGATGAGAAAACTACGCAATATGGTGTTGAACATGCGTGCTCGCAAGGCATAGCAATAACAGCCTCGACGCCCGGCGTCGCAGTCTCCAGGCCGTGCGGCGTCGGCCCTACGGCTGCACCACTAAGTGATGGCCAATGGGCAAACGAAAAAGATGACGCATCTTAAGAGATGGCTGGTGAACTAGTTAAATCGGCGTGCATGTTTAATGCAGTGCAAAAGTAAGCCAAATGCAACCTTAATCTGAAAAGTGGGGGGGGGGAGGGCAGCTAACATTGCTGCCCCCACCTCGAAAAGTGGGGGGGGGGACATGACCCGTGCTCCCTGTTCCTACGCCCATGGTCTACATGATGCGGGCGCTTGGAACGGTATGCAGGCACCGTCCTTTGCGTATGGCGCGGGCATCGCCTGTAAATGGCACCGAGGTTCAGCTGATTCGGAGAACTCCCGCTAGATGGCACGCGGCGGCCGCGCTGGCTCGGGAGGCCGAATCAGGTGTTCCAGGTGATATAGCAGGGTGGTGCGCGGGCGCGATGGCTCGTATCAGTCCGGCACACACCTTATAAAATCCGCGGATCTCGTCCTCCCGAGGCACTCCGCACCGTAGCCACTCTGGAGTAGGCTCCTGCGGACGAGCCAAAGAGGGCGGAACTTTGCGGCCTTTACGGTGGGGGGTGGGGGTGATTCCTTCCTGTGTTTGAAATGTCCGCGTACCGAAATTTTTCTTAGGTGAAGTGTGTGTTTTGATACCGATTTATTGCTCAGGCAAGTTCTTTGGCGAGCACCGGTGTCTGACAGAGTATATTGTTATGGAGATACCGCGTGGCTCCGCGTGCCTCGGTGCCAAGGGGCCTGCACCCTTTGGCCTCTGGCATGATCCAGTGTCCCGATCACGCAGCAGCCTGACGTCCCAGGTGGTGTAGTTTTGTTCATAACTTTGTGGAGCGCGTGAGCAGAGAAATTTTGTATCCCAAAGAAATGGTGCAAAACATGTTCTCCCTGATTTTGACCAAGTTTTTTCCCAAAGCTGGGAAGGGGCAGGCATTCTGTCCAGCTAAAAAGGAAAATACACACCCGTTCCCAAATTAAATACATCTGGGTCAGTAAAAGCCTAGGCGGGTATCACATGGTCCCAGAATCTTTCCTCTGGGTGAGAAAGATTGTACCTTAGCTGGAATGTAGATAAACTAATTATCATACCCCAGATGCTCCTATTTATATCGTGGCTTGCATGACATTTCAATCACAAACTTAGCATGACGTGGTCCAGAGGATGGTGCAACAGGTGCACAACATTTTAGGCATCTGCTTCCATCAGCCCTTATTGGGACTGACACATTTGTAATATAATTGTTGATATCAACAACTTTCCATCAGCTTCATGGCTTAAAACATAGAGTAGGTGCGAGCATATACTTAGGAAGGAAGCACTTACTTAGGAAGCCAGAAAATTGAAAAATTGCAAGCAGTCAATTTCTAATGGTCTTTAGCAATCACTGAGACCTGCTAGAGCATGGTGTTTTCTGTCATCTGCTACCAAAGATGGTCCTTTAGTGCCAGCTGTGAATGCAGTGCAAATTTACCTGGGTTATTTTGTTCTCACTACAAGCCGTGGTTTTAATATTTTTGCTCTCTCCTCCAAGAGCCAAAACCAGACTTCAGATACTGCGTGTGAGCTCCACATGGTTTTTGGAAGCATGGAGCCTGCGCCAGATGCAAATCAATCTAACCTTGAGACACAAAGATAACACCAAACACTGCTGACGCCTACTGTCTGCGTAGATCAACGCCCAACAAGCTTATATTACGTGAGCATTTCTGTGCTGCTTGCCGCTTAAGGCCCTCAATAATTAGAGTGCTTGAAATAGCGTGGTGTCAACTTCACCTTCTTTCCCTTTTTCTTTTCCATGTTAGACTTGGATCGTCTTGAGCAATAGCTGAAAACCCATGGAAAAGCGGCAACACCAAACATATCTGAAATGGCCTTGAGCACAACTGCGTGAACCAGGCGGTTTTCTTCTTCTTTTTTTGTTATACACAGCAAATATCCTTTAAGCAGCCTTGACCACCGACAATTCGAACGTAATCCCTTCCTGAACGGATGATCCTCCCACGGGAATGGATTTCTGCCGGCGCATGATTCGAATCAGCGGACCAGCGCGTGAAGTGTATACATGGGCCCGATAGTCCGGATCGAGGACGGATCCCGGCTCCATTCGAATCACAGCTGCCCATATAAACATGGTAACTGTCCATTAGAAATGTAAGTGAGAATGCTTTCTATATCCGGCCTCAAGATAATCGGACTCGCTGGCGTTGTGTAAGGAGTGCAGAGTCGCGACCCTAGTCGTGGTCGGCCCTCGCCCGACGCTACGCGGCATGCGCCAGTCTGTATACACCTTGGGGCCGCGGGGTGCTGGCGGGTGACCTGCGATCTCGCGGGGGCGCCCTGCAGAACGTTCTACTGCGCGCAGATCTAGTGCGTACGTGCATACGTATCGACGCAGCAGAAATGCGTTATGAAACACAGCAGTTAGGTTATCTGACAAGTGAACAACTCTCAGACCATCCACGAAGGGACAGCGAGGTATAAACCGTGCAACCGAACAGCGAGCACCGACGAACAGAAAACGTACGGCCTCACCTCAAGGATCAACTACGAAACAAACAAGTCGTTACAGTGCAGCGTTGCAGGCCGAAGTTGATCGGCGGCAGCAAACCGACGTGCTCTGCGTTCCAGAGCTGCGCCTTCCGCCAACGACCTTTTTGTTGCCGCACGTATATTCCGATATTCTGATTGACCCCCGACATGACGCCCGGCGTCTATCAGCTGATTCAGCTATCCGCGAATTGAAGTCTCAGAATCAGTGACGTCATGCCAACGTGTGGCAAAGATGACATGATAATCACCGCACAATTTTACACTAGTGGTGCGTTCGGTCCAGGGAAAATGATTCAGCTAATAATTATCTCTCAGATAATCATCAGCGGAGATTCTCCATTTACACTCCACCGGTCCGAAAATTATCCCCCAGGTTATTCTCCCACGCGCCATCCACAGTCAACGGTCACAGCAGTGCATAGCAAAAACAGATTATCCGCCTTGACCATCCTCTGAAAACTCTTCTGGATTCTCCCTCGCCACGGAAAATTATCTGGGATGATTTTCCGTGTCAGCAGTGCCGAATACCAATTCGGAAAATTTACTGACAACCCGGACAACTTTTCGAGATCATTTGCCGGCCGAACGCGCCCTAGGTTTCACCCAAGGTTAGTTTTCTAGTAGCCTTGGTTTCATCTACGCAGCCTTGACGTTGGTAGCTGGGGCCAGTGTCTTAGGTCCCAGTATTTGACCTAGCTGGACCCAACATGGTATTGGGCCGAGTAAATGTATAGGTAGTGTGCGCATCCTGGTGTGCCCTGCTATGAATGGGCGTCAAGTGGCGTCATTTGAAAAAGAAAGAAAGGTAAGGTTGGCGGAAGAAAGGTAAGGTGCAGAGTTGCGAAATTGGGATTTTGGTTTTGGTCTGACGACTCGAGCCAACACGGTATCATAACTCATGTCTCTCTTTTGGATAGGTGCTTGCTCTCATGGCGTGTGGGGAAGGGGAGAGGGTGTCTAGGGGAGGGTGTCGGGAGGATTACTAATATTATGTCTGAGTGCTTTGTGCTGATGTTTTACTTATTAACCATCAGCATCAGTGTCTGAAACTTGGATGATTCTTGGTGTTTTTAGCCCCAAGACCTTATAATCTCCACGAACATACATTGGAAAGAATGTTAAACATTGTATGTATTGAATATTCTGACGTTTGCAAGTTGGAGGTCGGTCGGTAATTTTTGGGTGATATCGAGTTCCCAGTTCTTTGACGAGTTGGGAACTGGGGACTTATGTCCAGTGACTTCCTGTGAGATTGAAATCATTACAAAGGGCATGGTACAGGCTGAATGTTCTCCCGACACTTCAAAGGACAAACTTATCTGGCAACACACAGCATGTTTTGCTCTGATCTCCCAGGGCCTGTGAGGAGATGCCCAGAGACAGATGCTTAAGGGGGAGGCATGAGAGGAAGGAGGTCTGCTGTCTGCTCAGCAAGAACAAGAAGCCATCAGTTCAACATGAGCCTCATCCAAAGTAAGTTTTTGGAAAGTGCAGAGTATTCTTTGGCTTCAGTGTTTGTGTTGGAATGAACACCATACTTTTGTGTTATTAAACATAGATTTCGGACAGCAAACAATTTTCATATGCAGAATAAATAAAGCAATTGTTCATGCCTGCACTGCACATTAATAGCACTCGTTTGTGCCTGTTAAAGAACGTTTATTGCATATCATGTACTTTTATTGCATGCCAGCAAGGCCTGTCTCATCTAACAGTTGTCTGTAAAGCAGTGGGGGAGCAATAAATATCAATGAAGTTTCATTGTATCTTCATCTAAGCAGCATGTACTACCGTATTGGCATCATCTAACTGAGCTTTTCCTCCGGCAGCAGTCCGCTCGGTTTGGGAGGCGGTGAAAAGTCAGCCATCAGCGTATCGGCGTCGTTCATCACACGCACCATCAAGTGACACCAAAGCCTGCAAAGACTGATGAAACAACGAGAGCTGCGGTAGAGGCGTCAGAAGGCAGCACATCAACGCAAAATAAGACGTTGACGGGCGCATCCTTCGAAAGTTGGCCAGCACCCGGCTGCACATCCGGCTGCGCTGGCTTAACCGCCAGAAGGACAGGGACGCGGCGCAGAGACGCCGTGACAAGCAGCTGTGCCAGCATGCCGCGAGTCGCTAATAATGTTAAGAAGTGTTCGTGCCGCTGCTTCGAATAGCAACACCGATTAGGCTTTTTGGTTAGTGCCCGTGTTTGTGCTGTGTAGAATAAGGACACCGCCCCAAGAGCTGATGCCTGCTAGCGTGCACTTGTATACTTGTATATACTATGATACTGTGATACTTGTGTGCGAGTGTTTGTTTAACGTGAGTGTTTGAGTGTATGGTAGCCCTTGGTTCTTGTGTATAATAAGGTTGCTGAAAACTGTCTCAGTTGGTGGTCTAGTCTTTTATTGCGTGTTGCTGAGAAGGACTCTGGGTCCTCGCCACAAATTGTTATGATTACTCTTGAGTGTCTTTACCATAGTTAAGATATTAAATGTGTGGCCGAGTGCTCTGTATGTCATTTTGTGTACGGTGTGCGGCCCCTTGTTTGCCAGCACAATAATACACTTTTGCCTTACACTCATTGTGTTGCAAACGACAATTTTTCCTTTTAAAAATGTTCGAAAATCTTCATTTCAAACCGGAAATAATCGGAGAAGTAGCTATTTATGACGCAAGTTTAGGGTTGTCATAATTCTGTCCTGTGCACTGCAGGGTTTCTGAGGTGAAAAATTTCGTATCGACTGGCAATTTTTCTTATTCAGCACTAGAATGATCCGATATGAGGTTAAGGCGATGTCATGAAAATCGTAAGTGTTCTAAAAACTGCGACAGGACTAGCTTATTTCACGCTGTGTTGACAATGTGTGTTTTCATATTGACCTTGCACCTACATCTTGGCTGTACTTACCCAAAAAGTTGCAAGTCTTAATATACATTTCTTATGCGTTATAGGCAAAATGGACGTAAATAAATGTTTTGAGGCACTGACCCCGTGAGTAACCAAATTATCGTGCCGATCTTCCGTGCCATGACCTTGACCTGAACGGGTCATGGCATCAGTATTTTAGTAACACATCATCCTCACAAAGCCAACGAACGCGATGTTAAGACGAGACATGCTTAAGTTCGCCCAGAACCAGTAAGACTGATGTTAGCAAGGCTTATGCAGACCTTTGACCTGACCTTGACCGCCCCTGTTATTATGCGTAATTGTTAAATTCTCCTAAAGCGACATCCGTGAACTCTTTTGGCTCCTGTGTGTTGTATACAAATCATACAATTACTTCCGAGAAAACTTGGTGGTTCGAATTTCGCCTCCCGGCCTTACAGGGGAAAGGCGCTCAGTTTCGACGCCAATCGATCGTGAAAAAATACTCTTTTGGGCCAATATTATGACCTGGTGCAAGAACAGATAGTGGTGTTACATACAAGCCAAATATATATCCAGGCTTACGGTCTTAAACTAGCTCATCAAACTTTTTAAACTACATTTTGCGTGTATCGCCTATGCATCGCAATGGTTCGATTACACTTGTGACGTCATCAGTCGAAGCAGCGGAATTTGGCCGGACGGTTGTACCTTCAGTTCAATGGCCTTGCATCTGATTAGCCCAGAGGCATCTGAAATTACTTATACAAAGTGTGATCATCCAAAAGTGATGTGATGTGATCATGTGATCACCATGCCAACTGTGCTTTTCTCCATTAAGAAAGAATTCCTTGGCTAAATAGGTTCGTTTCCGTTTGCGATAGTAGTAGGGTCGCCATTGTATTGGGCCCACATAATTGGGCCGCAGTATTAGGCCACGCTTTGTTGTTTTCTGATCAGGGTTTACCAGGTTTACGCAATCATGTGATCGTTTGTGCACGGTTTTAAAATAATTTTACATGTATTGAGAATATGTGTCCCTTGGCCAAATAGGTTCGCGTTCGTCGTGCCTGATGTTTAGTATTTGTAGGCAATGCTGATTGCTATTGGAATACTCTGCAACACGGTCTTCCTTTCGTCCTGGCAGGAGGACCGGACACGGCTGGTAATCATTGCTCAGGAATGTGTGCCATATATGACACGTAAATTCACATGATCATGTGGTTGTCTTTTCAGTACTGTATTATAATTTCACGTGTTCACAGCAGTGGGGCGGAACACAAAACACTGGTTCTGGAATATTTGTGCGCTTTTCAATCGTACCGAGTAATCGTGTTCGACACAAATATATGTGAAATTTGAGCAGCCTTGAACTTTGTGAACGAGAAGTTGACAAAAGTTCGTAAACGTCAACGTCCATCATCAAGCGTGTCCAGGCACGGCAACACCTCGTCCGAGCCCTGACTGACCGCGCACCCCCAGCAGTGTGTTCAGAGCGCGTAAAACAGTTAGGAGAGCTCGTATGTGTGCTGATGAAGGAACCTACTCGGAGCGACCGCCCTGGTTTATTGTCGAAGGTCGACATACATGTGTGCGAGCGAAAGAGCCGAGTTAGGTACCAAAAACATTCCGGAGGAGGAAGATCCATCCCAATGTTGGCAGGAGCTCGAAGTGGTGTAAAAGGGAACGCTTTCGAGCTAGTCGCCTAGCTAGTTGGTGGTGCCCTGCACATGTGCACATTTGGCCGTGGAAAGGGGCGCCCGAGCAGACGCCGCAAGTACGGTGTTGGCATCCGTGGCTCCAACCGTCCACAGGGCGCCGATGCATATAAGGCAACGAAGCTAACGACAGGCTGACGGTGCTGCAGCAAGCAATTTTGTTCATCAAACACGCCAGCGGGTATTTGGACTTTTAGACTGCGGCGTCACACTAGGGGGTACTCAACTCAGGGGACTCAGGGGACTCGCACCTGGGACTCAACGGAGTAGCCGGTTCTCAAATTTGTAATGTCTACCAGCAGTTCTCAACAGGCTTGCGTTTGCTTCCGGATGGAGTTGGCATCGTTTCCGGAATGTACAATGTTATCGTTGAGTCGGGTTCGAATCGATTCCCTCGAATCTTCGGTGTGAGTCCTGGTCGGAATTAACCTGATTGCTGGCGTGCATACCAGAATGGAAACTCGAGCGGCAGAACGTGTTCAGCCTGTCACTACTCGCTCAGATTGGCCGCGGCCGCATGCAGCTATTTTGCTCCTAAAATGAATAACACATGCAGGCCACTATGAACCCCCAAATCAGTAAACGACCTTTAAACCGCTGTCACACCAATCGATCGTATCGGAGCCGCCTCTGAAAGCTAGCTTTACGCCTCAAGTCGGAATCGAGGTCCACGCGAGGTTGTACTGTGCTGCGCGGAGTCCTTGTCACCATTCCGGTGCGCTCTGATCGGAAGTCGGAATATATTCCGCTAAGGCGTAATCAAGCAAATTCTGGCTTTGACCTGATTGTTTCAATGGCTAAAGGTCGCCTCCGTCCAATCAGAGTTACGCTATGACGGTCCTGATCCTACGCTGACCTATGGCGAACCACATTATCGCGGTACGCCTGACCAGGAAAATACGTCCGCGGCGCCACGCAACACGAACCTGACCACGCCCTCCATTCGCGGAAGGCAGTCACAATATCGTTGCAAAACCAATTGCAGCTGCGCCACAGAACCTGACCTGCCGGTGGAAAACTCACCCAAGCTGCATCACTATTTTCATACAGCCGATCCGCGGCGCGCGATGAGATGTTCTGGCAGACTGCATCATAACGCTGGTCCTAGTCCCCTTCAACGCCGTAATACTATGTTATTGGGCGTCCCGCTCCCTCCATAGGCGCAGGGACGTCTGGAAAAATTGGGATGACACCAAATTTTGAGGCAAATTCATTCAGTACATTGTCATATGGCTAATATTATATATTCTGAAAACAAGCCCAGACCATGACCCCCAGACCCCTTGTCCATATGCTTGAGATTCTCAAAAGGGTGGCCTGAAAGTGGGAACATACAAAGTACCAGACTTGGTTGCCGCCACCATCCATCATCACCTGATGACGCTTCCAGATGGCTAGTGCACATCCCACAACAGGCATCTCTTCAAAACCTGTTGTTGGCCAATAGATGCTGGAAGTGAAAATGGTAGAATGCAAATCATTCTGAACAAATGTCAGTGCTATTAATTCACTGCATAAAACCTTTATGTTACTCAGATAACCAGCCAACCAACAATTCAACCAAGACATCTGAATGTCTTAGCAATTTGTGTTGCATGAGGACAGTGCATATGTGGTCCCTCTACATCTGGAAAGTGTTGAAAATACAACTTTAGCCATTTTGTTCCCTGCCAATCTGACACACCGAGTAAATGAATACTTGCAAATGGTAACAAGACTGTCCATATGATGTCCAATGGCTACTTCTAACATTCATGGTCTGATTGAGACAATGTGCTACAGACAAGTTGAAAACTAAGTGATGTTATACATCCAATGAGACATTTTTCTGCTTCAGTACATTCTGCATATTCTTCACTTCACTTCACTATTCAGTATCTTCTCCACCATTCAGTGTATTCCTCACTTCAGTATATTCTGAAAAATGCATGCTCAGAGCACAATTTATTTGGCATCATCAGACATCCACACAGTCCTGAGCCCAGATGATACCATCAAAACTAAGAGCACTGAGCACTGCATCACTGAAAAAACATTACACAATCTTCTTTTCAATTGACTTATTGACTGCACCTTGACCATGGAAGCTTGCAGTGGGCTCAGACTAAGGAAAAAAGTTTTACTGTCCTGGACAACAGGACTGACATCATAATAGATCCTATTACACATCAATATCACAGACATTTCATTAATCTCAGCAGGCATATTGCATGAAAGTCATGAACAAGTAGTATGAGTTGACACTACATTTCCTTCTCTCCTTGTGACAGTTCTGCAGCTTTGATGATGTCCTTGCCTTCTTGTATGACTTGAAGCTTGGGCATATCCACCATCACCTTGTGAAAAGGCACTTGCATGTGAACCGAAGATGCTATCACTTGTGAAAAAGCTGTCAGGTCCTCCATGCTTGGAAAATTCTTCTCCAAAGCCAAAATCATCATTGAAAAAGTCATCAAAACTGAATGCATTTACCCGATGAGCATGGAATCTGTGCTTTTCGTTGAATCTCTGATGATGGGAGCCATGACCTCCATCATGGAATCCACTGAAGCCTTGGCCGAAGCCAGTCATCAAATCATCATCAAACATCTTGACAATGTCATCAAAGTTGAAATGATGTGCCCCATGTCCAGCATGCCCAGAGAACCGAAATCCTTCTCCTTCCGCATCATACTGTCTTCGTTTCTTAGGATCAGAGAGCACTTCATATGACTCAGCTATTTCCTGAAACTTTTGGTCTGCATCAGAAGCC